GTAAACCCAATTTCCTTTTCATATTACCTCAGTGTTCCTCACACTCCAAACTTCTCCAGTATTCTGCATTGAGTTCCTGTGTACTCATTATTGAATGGGAGGTCCAAAACTTGTTGCATGTGATTTGATTTGATCTTTTGTTCTTTGGGAAGTTCAGCCTCAGTTCATTCTTTGGAGTTCTATGTGTCTGTGTGCATGCAGCCACCTCTCACCCCTTCAGTGTCCCATCTCTTCCTCACTCCCTTTCCTTCTCTTTTCTCCTTTAACTCTCTGTTTATCTGTTGTTAGTTTAAGTCCCCTAAGGTGCTAATACTATTAACCTAGAGTTGGGGAAACAAGCTTGGAAGAGTGTGAGAGAGAGAGAGAGAGAGAGAGAGAGAGAGAGAGCGCGCGCGCGCGAGCTAGTGAAAGTGGACAAGGCTTGGTGAGTGATGAGTGAGCACACAGGAAGGCACGTCTTCCAGAGTTAAATTCCAGAGTAAAACAGAAATTGTGTTTCATCCTTGCCTGACTTTGTGCCCCCACAGAATGACCCAGAGAGCTCACTACACATGTTTTAAACACACAGACAGACATGCATGCTTACAAATACACACATATATAAAATCTTGTACTTGGAAACCCACTGGGTCATACTGAGTGTATTTTATGACTAGAGAAAATAAATTTCTGCCAGTGTTCCTGTGGATCCCAGTTGTAAGGAGCATGGGTGGGGGGCATTGTTAATATGGGTTCCACTTCCGGTATAACTTTTGTATGAACTACCATATTTTATCAATAATTCCATTCTTGGTATAACTAATAGAAATTCAGTTGCTAAAAGTAAAAATTGGGTCAGAAATGGAGATTATTAAAATGTACAATTGCAAAAGCCTGACCTTGCAAACCCCATTTATGCAACTGAGTTCCAAACACGTTTGAGTGCTTGGTGACTCACTGTGGCTTCTTCTCTGGCTGGTTAGTGCAGGCAAGAGGTTAGCCAACTGGAGGAAATTAAAACAATGTTGTACATTATATTGTTACCAGCCATCAGAAAGGCTGTTTTATATGCAAGACAGCAATGCTGAGATATATGGAGAGCCCTGGGCTAAGTACAGAAGATAATTACATTTGGAATTTTACTGAGTTAAGTCATTTACAGCTTCAAACAGTTGCAGAGAAAAATCAGCCAAAACACACTTAAACTTTTTGTTGTGACTTTTCAGGATACAGAGGACTTTTAAAAATTTACTTATTTTCTTGCATGGCATTATAGTTTTTAAAGTAAGATTGTCTCAAAAATTATTTTCTTCAGCTAGTTAATATTTTTCTATTCAGACAATAGATATGAACTTATCAGAACAGCAGAATATTTATACAGGGAAAGGGCACATCATAAAATCCCCAGATTTTTATTTAAGCTTTTGGAAACATCTTTAAATTTAGCATGTTTATTGGAAAGGAGAAAAGTTGTATGTTTATCTCACAGAGTTCACTTATATTGAAGTATAATAGTAAGCTGTTGAGAAGTTGAATTCAGCCTGAATTTACATATGTTGGTGGTGGGATTTATAAAGTGATACAAATTTCTGCATTTGTTTATTTAATTGATAAAATTAAATTCTTAAAGATTACCTAGAGTAAATTATCTACTAAAGTTGCTGTCATGGTTTGCTCATGTAGGCATTACAGACTGCAAATCTGAATATGGGGCCCCTGTTACTCAGGAACTGGTTATTTATTTGTTACTCCTCACTCTCCACAAAGAGCCAGCAGGAGGAGAAAAGGAGGTAAACCATTAATAAGTGAAGTAATTATCTCCTGGGAGCTTTAATGTTTTTTTCATAGATATGGCCTGATAATGGTACAAACTGATGTGAGGATTCTTTGATCATTTGCGGATTTCATTTATTTATAGAGTTTCCTTCATCCTTCAGCTGCTAATCAAACTGAAAGTAGACTTTTCAACTTGTGGTAGGAATCTAGGAAGATCATCTGGCCAGAAGTTACTGTGTGGTTGATACCTGTGATGATATCCTAGATAATATTTTTGCTTGAGAGTCTGCTTTGACAAAAGAAGGGACAGGCTAATTCTGAAGGGTTTGGTTTTTTTCAAAGCTTGAGAGAATTATTAAGAGGGTTAAAATAGTGCTTGTCAAAAGCAGGGGTTGACAACTACAGACTGTGGACCAAATCCCATGAGCTAAGAAAGCTTTCTGCATTTTTGAATAGTTGGGAGTGGGAATCAAAAGAAAATTAAGTTATATGGAATTCAAATGTCACTGTCCATATATAAGGTTGTATTGGAACATGGTCACATCCATTAATTTATAAATTATATGTGGCTGCTTTGGGGCCACTACAGAAAAGTTGAGTAATTGTGAGATTCCCTGTGCCCTCTAGGGCTGACAGTATTTCATGCCTGGCTGGCCCTTGCAGAAGAAGTTTGCCAAGCAAAAACAATTTCATCACATTATTAGGAACTTGCTCCCTTAGTTTCCTGACTACCTACCTAAAAGTCTACTTGCCTCTTCTTACCTCACCCTTCTTCACCATGGTGTATAAAATTAGCCTAGTTACCACATTGGTCAGGTTTCCTCAACAGCAATTTTACATGACAAGTACCTGCTGATCTTTGGGGTCATGGAAAGCTGGCTGAGGGATATGTTCATTCATTCATCCATTTATCGACTCATGCATTTAGCACACATTACCTGGAACCTATAACAACAGGAACCTTGCTGGACCCTCTAAGGAGTACAACAGTGAGTAAAATAGATAGGGTTGCCCTCCTGGTTCTTACACTCTAGAGCAAAACCAGACCATGAATAACTAATTTTCCATTGGCACTGTCTATCAATTGACCAGTGCTAGCCAACACTAATGGATTCTTGAAAACACCAGAAACATGTTCAGAAGAGAGTTTCAGTTCTAGGAAGGGACCAAACCAAAAGAAGATTTTATCTATTTGTTAGTATTCAATCAGATGAAATACACAAGAAAATGTCAACAGTTTCTAGTATTTAAAGACCCCTTGTCCTGCGTTCCAGTTAAGATAAGCCCTTACCAGGAATGAGATTGAGAGTCAGAGCTGCAGATCTGGCACATTTGGGAGAGTTTGGGCAAGGTACAGTTACACTCACAGCTCCTCTCATCTCAGGCCTCCTGTTCTCTGAAGCTCAATATCTCCATGCTTATGCTCTCACAGTTGCCATTTCATTCACCCATGTCTGGAAATGTACTTTTTAATCAACTAACAGGCATTGTGCCTATAGAACCTGAGATATTGGAGAAATCAGGTCTATGCAGAGGTATTCTTCTGTTTAAGCAGCTTTACTATCTCATTGCACTGGCATTGCCTGCCATTCTCTGAACAGCAGACTAGTTTGTCACTTCATTTAGAGGAGTGCCCTGGACAGGACTGACTGAAAAGCTACTTCTCTTCCCTTCAAAGGAGGCATTGCCCAGTCCAGGAAATAGCAGAACCTCCAAATATCTCAAAGTGTATTTACTAACTTGAATTTGAAAAATATTTGCACCAGTGAGCACCACAGGAAAAAGCGATCAAAGTTTGCACGACCCCTGAAAGATGAGTGCAGCATTAGAGTGGGAAGAGAAATCTCTCCCTACCATTGGACTTGACTCACAAGGCCTCTCTCAAGCATTTACATCTGGGAGAAGTCACATGTGCCCCTATTACAAAAACAAACCCATAAGCCCAAATTGGACCTTACAGTAGAGATCAGCAGACAGTTTTTATGTCTGCTCTACAGAATAAGTGTGAAGGGATTTCATGAGAGAATTCGGGAGGGCAGTCAGTCAGCACCAGGCATGACCAAAGCTTGCAAAAGGCACTTGAGTGCTATGACCAAAGCTCGCAAAAGGCACTTGAGTGCTATTCTGTGTATGTTTTCATCTGCTGGATTCTAAGCCCTGGAAACCTCAACTCTGACCTCAAACAGAAGGCACTGATAGTAGTCAAACCTCCCTAAAGAATTGAATACAATATATATTTTTAATCACCATAGTTAGCCATAGGGGATAGTGGCTGGAGATGTTTCCATTGTGTTGCCTTCCCCTTGGAAAAGCCAGGAGATTCTAATGGTGAGAGTTCAGGCAACCAGGCAGAAGTAAAAGTGATGGGTATGGCTCTGACTTAGATCTCTCTAATCAGTGTGGTGTGTGAGATGCATATTTATTGTTAGCATTTTTGTTGGAAGATATCAGAATATAGAATGCATGTTTCTTAGCAGTGGACATCTTATATAGAGCTTGTTAACAGAGAAGGGTTGGTTAATTCAATTTTCATGTTATACCCTGTGACTCTTCTCACTGAGCAGGAAGAGGGTTCAGAAAAACATCTTAGTGGGTATTCAGAGACTTTTTGAATATTTCTTACTGCATTTCATTATTATTGTACAAAGACAGTTATAGTACTTTTGACATTTTATCAGTGGACTAAATGGAGGGTTAACCCTGGCTATTACCTGGAAGCCCAGCATTATAAATCCAAGAAGTTATGTGAGGTCCTTACATTGTACACCTGGGCACATTACAGAAAGACAAATGGACACAACAGAAATCATTTGGGTCAAGGATATGGTTTCTTGAGATCATAGAATGTATTTAAGATTTCTGTTAGATGTTCTCTTTTTACAGATTCTTCCATATGATATACAGTCGTGATGAGTTAGAACTGGAGAGGAAAAAAAAATGCCACAATCAATAGGCATGGTTTATATAGGTCCCTCCCACCCAAACAGAGGGGCAGAGGCATAGGAACTGGAAGTAAGTCGAGCATAACAATTGCCCACCACAAATGCCATGGCCAAGATTATAAGGAAGCACTTGAACCTTCCTTGATAGTTGAGCACCTGCTGTCTACCAGACATGAACACAGGAATTTAAATTCACATTAATCCAGTTACCTGGGTTCACTCAGGTGAGCCACACTTATTAGGACTTCTCTCAACCATCAAACTGTGGATGAGATATCATAAGAAGTATCTCATAGGCCAGAA